TCCGCTGATTCAGCTCCAGCTTCTGCACCGGCCTTCTTTCTTCCACAGAGCAGGATCGCTTGCGTGACAAGAACGAACACTCCAAAGAGCACGAGCTCGATCATGGCGTCAGGGGACTTGTGTACCGGTTAGTCCAAAGCACCAAAATGAGTCCTACCGCGCTAATCACGCTTTTATAGCACCTGCATGTTTATCCCACAAGTATCACTCGTTGTTATCAGACATGTGCAGAGTAATTCCTTATTTGAATCTTCTTTAGAAGTGGTAGCCAGCCAATGTGTTACAGGCAATCTTATCCATTGTCCGTCCTCATCGATGCGCTCATCCTTCCGATACGGTAAAAATAGGATCGCACCAATGGCGTGGACGCAGTTGTTATGTGTCTCCGCCCTTTTCCCCACCTACTCGATAACCGCGAAATGTATCTCTCAGCAAAATAGTGTGATATGGGAAGCATGTGCAGTAGAAAAAAAATTTTTTTGAACAAGCAGAGCATCGCACTTCTGAAACCTTCATTGGATGTCCTTGGTTTCTTCACGGGACTTTTGTCCTTTTACAAGTAAAATATCCCAGGAAACGACGGGTGGCCTATTACTGGTTTGTTGATTAGAAGACACATCAAAACTATCGAAAAGGGTAATTTTCTTGCTCGTCCCAAGTTTTCTCATGATACTGTTGGCAACCATTGTGCTTGGCAAAAACGATCTTAGTCGCCCTCGCTAGAATTTTCACTGGAGGGACCTTCAGGGACAAGGAGGGGTTCCGATCGGTTGTATGCGGTTTCGGATCACCAGTTCAGTATAGTTCGTTGCAGATGTGGGGACGCGTCGCGGGGAAAGCAGGGTTTATCGCGGCGCCAGCCCGCTCTCCACCATTTGTGGAAACGGGTGAACGACAACTGCTGGAAAAGGGACTGGCGCCGTGCCAAGCCCAGCTCCCTTGACACGCCCCCGCATCCGCGAGCGAGAATGTGACTTCCCTTTCGATTGCGTTCGCAGTTGCCAAGCTTGTGATCAGCTGCTCAAATAGGCGTGGCGTTCACAATTCAATTCACCCCACCCACCGACCGATCAATGTGATTCCCCGAATCTAGACAGTATTTGTTACCTCATAAGTTGCCCCGCAATCATCCAACCATTGATGCCTTTTGGCTCAAGAGAAAAAGATCAGTAGAAACGTTGAAGGCATGTACTGCGACTACCTAACAGGTAGGCCCTACCTCCCCCCCTATTCGATGAGCAGTTTCTTCAGCCGCAGGGATTTTATTATTTTTCCACGATTGTTCCACTTCTCTACTTCTCCACTGAAAAAAGCATGGTAAGGCACCAAGGAATTGTCAAAGATCGCGATTACCTTGTCCTTCAGCTTCGGTTCTCTTTCAAGCGCCCGGTGCCGGCGTCTTCATTCCTTCGTTTTTCATTTTTCAAAATAATTCAGTCAGCTGCAAGAAGAATCAGTTGGGCGTCCTCTGATGTCCCCTTTTGGTCTTTTTCTCCACTTGTTAGTCAATTAGCGGAGCCGAAAACAGATTCACATTATTGAATCGACAGCTTTCACAAACTTCAAGTGGCGAGCGTGTTTTTGAAACACAACCATGCTCACTCCAACACTCAAAGTAGCGAAGGCAGGCACAAGCTAGCGTTCAGACTTAGCGATGACACGTGTCGACGCGCGACTATTGACATAGAGCTCGAAGCGCTATAGAAGAGAACGCAGCGATAGACGGACATCGATCGGCGCCGGGTGCCAGTTTTTTGTACGAGTGCAGAAAAAAGGAGGGTACAAGACCGAGTGACTAGACAACACGTACCCTCCTATTCGGCGCAGTTTGTCGACGAGGGGGCATTCTGCCTTTCGCCACAGATGTGGGCCGATCCAATCTAGGTAGCCCTTTTTCTTCAGGAGTTAGCACGTTTTTAAGATGATGGCTAGACGATCTTTGCACCAGCTTCAAACAAGGTTCAACCAGTTTTACCAGGACGATTTGTTAAACCGAACAGGGAAGCAATGGTAGTACAAAATGCCCCCCGTCGACAAACAGCGCCCTCCTATTCTCCTATACTTTCTCTCAGAATACTAGCTGTCGGGGCCTGATCGATGCCTGTCTTATCGCTTCCCATCGATAGTACTGGAGCGCTGTTGCAATAGTAAAGCGTCGGCGCGGGTCATCGCGAAGTCTGAACGCTGCCCAACAGATGGGAGGCAGCTGGAGTGGAGGAAGTATAGATAAATCAGAGATGAAGTTATAGTAATTTCATTCCGTTACAGTATTACAATCCGGAAACCTGACGTAATAAATTATTATTCTCAATTAATTTCACCTTAATCATAGCTATTAAGTCACACGGTACACAATGGGCAAAGCGTTAAATACAAGTCTATCAAATCTCAAATGATACAAAACCTACGCACTTTAACCCTAACACGATACTAAAACTCGTACTCAAAGATGTGATACATTCACGGTTCTAAAGCAATCTCTACTTATACTCCTCCAGGAACTTTGTATGGAAGGACTTGAATCGCTCCAACATATCTTTCATCAGAGCCGTTTGGGGAAGAATTGTTGTTCTGAAATAACAATTTATGATAATAACAATTAAAATATAAAAAATAGTCACAAGTCAAGTAAGTCGGGGCGTGTCAGTGGGGAACAGGTTTTGACGCAGCGCCAGCCCGTTTTCCAACGATCACAGCTACTTCGGGCATTCAATGGGTGGTGGGAATATGTCTCGCTGACACGCCTTGACAGACTTCAACAATAATGACTGTGTATACACTCCATATCCCGCACATGAATGGGCGTGGCTTCGAACTTTGTTTGAGCACGGCGTAAGATAACCGCTTCGAGGGATATTCCTTTTGAGACTACTGTCATCGTCTTATGTCAAGGCAAGGATATGAGCACAACTGTCCCAAAAGGACTTTACACCTTTCAAAGAGCAGTTGCTGCTACCTTCAAAAGCAGGGCACAGCCACGCCCATTCTATGTGCGGGATATGCAGTGAACACTTTTCTAAATCAAAATAAAAATATCGATATACCGGAAGTGGTATGTCCCTTCCTTTTGGCCAAATCCACTACCAGGTACAATGCACACACCAGTCGCTTCTAACAACTGCATCGCATAGAAGAAATCGGGTTCCATATTCAGAGACTAAATAAAAACAATATTGAAAAATATCGCAGAATCGAAAGAAGTCTCCAAAACGGGACAAAC